ATAAAAATATATTTTAATAAATTTTTCAGAATAATTATTTTATGATATAATTTCTTATTTAAATATAATATAGAAATCTAAATATAATATGATTATTTTTAAATTGAATTCTTATTAACCTTATATAGATTTATGAAAATTGCTCCTATAGTTATAGTAACGAGTAATGATGTTATTATAACATTTTTATTGGTATTATAAGTAAAATAACTGTCAACAGTATTTACTTTATCATGTATCGTTTGGTCTTCTATGTTTTCTTGTTATTTTAATACAATGCATTTTTTTTCATAATTCACAGAACTAATTATTTCTGATAACTCTTGAAACTCGTTGTTGCATTTGACCTTTAATTTCAAATTATTTTTTTCAATCATACATCTAATATTATTTAATTCATTAAGCAAATCCCCATCTGGGTTTCCTTTAATGATACTTAAGATTTCATTATATAGTTTAATTATATTTTTAACATAAGTACATAAATAATCACTCATGCCAAGTTCGATAAAATTGACTAAACTCGAATAATTATCATATATTTCATACAATTTTACTTTTTTTTCATATTCCTTATTATAAGCATCTCCTATTTCGAATTTACATCCTATTTCTTTTGCTAGAGAAGTATGTTCCTTAATATACCTTATTAAATACGTAGATATCGGATGAGAATTAGTAGTATAGTATATTTTATCTTGTCCTTTTAGCCAATAGTTCATATAATCGCAAAATTTATTGTTGTACATACTTGAATATTTATTTTTAATAACCTTAAAATATTCATTTATGATTATAAAATTAGATTTAATAGATTCATATATATATCCTATATCTTTTAGGGATTTCATGAAATTCTCAATATCCTCTGTACTAAGTGATTTTCCAGATCTAATGAAGAATTGAACTTTGTATAATATATAATCCTCGTAATTGATATACTAAAAAAGATATAGAAATTATACAATATGTACATATAAATGTTAATTTAGTAACATTATAGATAAATTTCTGAATAACTTCTGGTAAGTAATAATATATTATTTATTATCATGGATTCCTATAGAATTTACCGTTTCAGTAGTTCCAGAAACTGCCATTGTACACAAAATAAATAAAACCAGTTTAAAATTTAAATTATTATATTAATAACTATTCAACAAAAGATATAATTATATGTTATTTGCAAGATTCGAATTTGTATTACTAATATTAAAATTTAATAATATAATTTATTAGAAAATAATTTTATATTAATATATATATCTATAATATAATTTGTTTATAAGAATCTACAAATCAAAGAATATTAAGTATGAACCCAAATAGATTAAATAGTGTAAATAATTTAAACTAATATATAGTAAACATAAAATCATGGAATTATTATCAATATATATGGATAATAGTTATATTATAGTATTTATATATTATAATAGATTGTTTCATATATATAATGCTTATACATTGTGCAATATATGTTATGATAAATGTACGTGATTCCTTGAATAAGATCTACTTATACAATGAAATATTTTATAATATAGTTTGTATTTTATTATCATATTTTACAAATAATTTTGTATACATATTATGGATAATATTTTCAAATTAAAACAATTACTTTTACTTCAGTCTACGATGCTATATAGAAAATATATTTAGTTTGAAAAATACATTTATATAGAAAGAGAATATATTTATTTTTACAAAAATAAAGGATGACATTATATCACATGTATTCCAATTATTTAATATTCGTAGTATAAAAAATAATTATATAATATTAGTTAAATCTTTACATTAATATATAGTATAACATATTAGAAATATTAAAATAAATGATTACGCTTACTGTATAATTATATAGTTTGCTCAAAATAATGTGTAATTTATATAAATATATATAATTGAAGCAAAAGGTAAATGAATTATTTATTTATATATACAATTCAGGGTATAATAATTAGGGTTTAAGTATATTTTTTGTGCTTTATGTTTTAGTTTTATTGTTTAGTTATTATATTTATACTCATTGTTATATTATTATATATTATAGTGATATGTCTTTGTTTTAATCATTTAGTTTTTATATTATTGCATAATTCTTTTGAGTTATGTTTATAATGATTTATTACAAGTATTATTTTATTTAGTTTTACTTTTATTATTATAATTTATTTTATCAATACTTTAATGACTAGAATTGATATTCTAGATTAATCAATAATAGTATTTTGTATGATTAGCATGTGTTTTACAGTGCTATATGATGTGTGTATGTTTAATATGCTCTTTATTTATAATTATGTACCGCTATAACTATTATATTATAGGCACTATTTATGTGATATTCTATTTAGGTGTTACTTTTTTTACATATATTTATTTTTTTTTTATTTATATTTGTGATTACGTTAACTACGTTTTATTTATTTTGAATGTTTTTCGTTAACTTTTTGATGATCATTATAAAGATAATTAAAAATTTACATATTATCTTTATTCTTATCATGGCCCTTATTAATATATGAACAATAATTTTAATGAAATATATGTTATTTAAATAGTAAACCATATTAATATATGATGTATTATTTGAGTTTAGAGAAATTCTGCTATTATGTGTTTTAATTGGGTATTTATGAGAACAGTTATATAAGAATACATATTAGGTTAATACTTGCAGATGTATATTATTCGGATAGACATATATTGTTATAAATATTTTATCTTTATTTAAAAAAGAATTATTATTAATATAATCTCTATATTTTTTTTCTGTGAATTCATTCTTTTTAACATAATATTATTCCTTCAGCATAATTTAGAATTACATACTTTGAGAACCTTAACAATCATGCAGATCTGAGTTTAATAATAAGAATATTTTAAGTTACTGTATCGTATCGAATTATTTTAAAAATATATTATATTTTTTATCGAATTAATTTGTTTCAAATAATATCTGAAAAATATTTTAATTGTTAAATACTTTATTGCTACATTTTATATTTTGTGCTCTCGTTTAATTATAAAATACATAAATGATTATAATTGGAATAATATATTTAATGTTAAACAAAATATATATTATAAAATAAGTTATTCTAAATTTAAAAGAAAATTCAAGAAAAAGCAATATACTCATTTTATAAAAAAATTAAAATTTTTTTACCAATGTAATTATACAAACATTAAGGGCATTAAAGAATATAAGAAATACAAAAGAGTTTAATTATATATATAACGTTTAATTCAGTTATTTTTATTAATATTTCATTTGAATTTATGTAATATTACCTAAATTAAATATATAATAAGGTATTTAGTTATTATAATTATATTTGTAATTTAATTACAAGTTTATAATAATGTTTAATTATAAAATTAATATATATTACATTAAATCCAAAATTTAACTGTTATAAGGTAATTCGCTGTTTCATATTATATATAGGATCACAATATACATTATTTATATTATGATGAATCATGTAATCAGATGTGAATGATATAATGTACATATAATAAGACAGTTACTAAAAACAATCTTCTATATAATGATCATTAACCCTGAAGCCTTATTATAATTATATTTATGTATACAAAATTGGGATTCTTTTTATATATGTTATATATATATATTATCTATATTTTTTTATCATACAAATAAATTATGTATGTAAAGCAAATATAACATTAAATTAAAGCGTAATAAATTAAATTATCAAGAATAAGTTGATGTAGCAATATTATAAATATTTTCGTTCTAAATGTGTTTTAAAAAAAATTTTAATGCTGTATCACTCTTATATTTTAGTAAAACATGAGTTATATATATATCATTGGTTCAAGCAATATATCTCCTTATTAATAATGAATAAAATTATGGAATTATTATTTGAAAATGCTTCAATATATTTAAATTGAATCACATATCATTTACATATAAAATTAAAAATTTTCTTGTATATAATGAATTAAAAAAAGAATATTTGTAGTATTTTCTATGAAACGAATAATTACAACAGACATATAATACAACTGTGATTTCGCATTTTAGATATTTACGTATATACATAAATTATAAAAAACAAAAAATCCAAATATTTCTCATAAAAAAAACATAAAGGATGAATTAAAAAAGAATGATATGATATATTATAATTCCTGTATAGCTAGTATTATTTACACTCATTAAAAATGAACATACAAAATGGATAGCAAATTTATGTGATAAAATTTTAAATAAAATTATTATGAAACACAGTTCGTATATAAAAATGGAAAATATACATATTTAAGAATTCATTAGAAAAATGTTTGTAAGTACTAACAAAATAAAGAAAACTAGAAAAGAATACATTTAATTATTTTAGATATTTTAAAATCATTCATTTTTCTTTTCTTTTTTGAAATTTATATTTTAGTATCAAAAATTATTTATTTTAGAAATGTATAAATCCAAAACACTGCTGCTGTTAAAAAACAAAGAATAATCCCATCACATATATATTTTATTTATATACTGAGTTTTTAACAGGAATATTAATATATCATTTATCGGTTTAATTTATTATTCTGGTATTTTTACATTATCCAAATTATAAAATGTTAACCCTAGTTTTTACGTGTTTTACTAAATTATACATTCAATTAGTAAATTTCATTTAATACGTTCATACCATATGAATGTAGACAAATATTATAAGTAAACAGAGAAACGGCTTCTTTATAATTCTACATTTTTAAAAAATACATATTGTTCTATAAATAATATTATATCATATATATTTATGAATAATTAATGTATAAAAAATTTAAATAAATATATTTGTTAATGTTTTTAACGTCCAATATAATTCTATAAATTTATTATATCAATAGCCTACTGTATTAAATGCGTCTATATAAATAAAATAATATATATGTGTGTGTGAAAGTTTGTAATTACATTTATTTATTATATTCCACTACACGATTTTTACATCTATCTCAGGTCTGTATCTGCTATTATAGTATTAGACAACTATTAGCTGAGTTTATACGATTTAAATAGTTATATTTATAATGCAGATATATTTAAAATAAAATTATATAAGATTTATTAAATTATATTGCACTTATAATAGTCAATATGTTTTTTAATACATAATTATAAAACCATTTATTTTTATTTATCTTTGTATTCCACTTTTTCTAACTCTATTATTCAACATAAATGGTTGTGTATCAATGTATTTATTATATTATATATTTATATAAAGTTAATCATTTTATTAGGTATGAAATAATTTTACATTTTACTAAAGTTGTTTTTGGTATGAAATAATAGGCCAGTTCTCATTATTTTTTTTTTAGGCACATTTTTTTCTTTTATTACAACAAAAAATTAAACTTTGTATAATATCGATTTTCCGTATATTTTTTTAATATCATTATATATTGCACATTAGGAAGTAAAATTTTCAAGCTCATATTTTATAAATTACTTAAAATTATAAGAATAATGTGTTTTATTTATTCATTTATATCTTTATTATAATATATATATTTATATAATCATCAATCCCCTTATTTCTATATAACAAACTCTTATTTTTTATCTATTGATTAATCCGCACTACATCACTAATTATAGTGCAATGTTAGTTACTAATAGTACTCTGAGGAATAAGATATTTCATACTTCTTATCAATTGAATTTTTGTATGTCCTTTCAAATGAGTTCATTAGGTCATAATGGCTTTTACTTTTTTTTTTTAACATACGCCTTAATACCTTTAAATTTCTTAGTAGAAACGAACCATAGGGAGTATACTAATGATGAAGAATTATTATCGTTCGACTATATATAAAATATTTAAATGAAATATTTTTATTATAAATATATGTATTATAATATTTGAATCAATATTAAATTAATAAATTTATAAATATATAACCTTAAAAAGTACGAATACCATTGTTAGCATTATAAATGTAAAAACTACTCCAGTCCTTGTGCTTGTTAATGTGCCGGTAATTGCACTTCTACTTGACTCTGTTACTACGTTTTCTGATGCCTCTATTGTTTTATTTCCACTGCTATCTTCGCTTGTTTCTTTTATTAATGGTTCCGGAGATTCTTCTGGTTTGATCACAGGTTCTTCTTGTGGCTTAGGACATAATCTATTATATTTACGCTCAGCATTTTTAATTACTTTTTGAAAACTTACCTTACCACTAAATTCACATATTTCTAATTTTTTAAATTGTTCATTAAATTGTTGTCACTTCAAATTACATAAAGAAACCCTGTGTTTTATTGTATCAATAATACCATATAGTACATGCAAACCATAAAATACATCGTATAAATATTGTTGAATAATCATCATATTATCAACAATATGCTTACATATATCCGGGATATGTATTGGATTTGAGCCTGTACTCTTTTTTCTCAATGTATCGTAACAATTTCCATTTTCAATACAATTACTGTTATATCTTATCACTATATCCTTTAGATTGTAATAGAAATAACTACATAAAGGATCGATATTAAATCCAGAACTTTTATTCCTATATTCCTCTTCTATATAATATAAATATAAACCTATTGGTATACAATTTTCCTGAAATTCCTGGCCACCAACATACTTAGGATGTATAAAATAACTAAAATTCGTGCACATTTTCGAACTTAGATTGTAAAATTCTCCGCGCTTCATGCTCCTCCAATTTGCATTATAATTATTTTTGCAATTCGGAAATATAGCATCAAAATCGAACTAAGAATGAATTTAAAAATATGTACAAATATATAAATTAAATTTTTAGAATATATGATTTGCTTCGTTTTTAATGATATATATATATATTTTAGATTATATTAAGTAAAATTTAGCTTTAATATTACTGAACATACAACATTTTTCTGAGTTATTTCTTCTTCCATGTTGATTTATATATGTTAATATAAGAAAAATAACTATTATTTTTCATTTATAATAAATTTATATGTGTTAAAAAAATATTAATAAATAAAATTGAATCAATGTATATTAAATGTTATATTTTACATGAACTATTGAAATTTATTCAACTACATATTTTTAATTTACTGCAAAATGACGTTAAATGTGGATGATATTATATGTTCTAGAAAATACGATGTATTCTCATATAAGTATATAATATGACACACAGTTTTATAGTTCTGGGATAATATACAAATATTAAAGGATTATACACATTTTTATAACATCGTTAAATATATGTAATTTTATTAAAAAAAAGTGTTATTGGTAACAAGAAATTAAAGAATGCAAATTCATATAATCAATAATTACATTATAAAATATTCATACATATATATTTATTTTCTCACATAAAATATATGTATAAATAGACATAGACTTAATACGAAGGCAAATATATTTAGTGTTCAAATATAGATGCTTTTGAATTAAGTACAAAAAATTCAATGCTTATTTTTCAGTAATTTTTAATTACAGGCTAATAATGAATAATATTCTATTATATTTACTTATAGTAATTAACATAAAATATACAGATACATATATAAGATTAAATATATTATTTTGAATTCATATATCATTATATTTCATATCATGTAAATATATGATATATAACAATTATAATATAATCAAATTATTTATTCATATTGTGCATAGTATATTTAGGATATAATAATGTAATATATATACAGAATTAATATTATTGTCATACATACATATAATTTTACACTGCATAATTATGTATACTACATGTATGTAAAATTTATAACTAAAATATTTTAATATGCATCCAATTTTGTAATGCGACTATTAAAGTAATGTTTAATCCCTATCGAACACTAATTTTACTATAGTGTAAATTTAAATATTTTGCTCACAAGCGCTTATTCAACTAATATATTACTATACTATAAAGCGCTCACTATTATTTATTATTGTAAATTAATTCTGTTAAAATTAGCACAGCAAAATATGGAAAAATAATTTATACTAGGAGGATATATATTATTTTTAAGAATTTACATTTTATATTATTATTAATCAGTAATATTTATATAAAATTTTTTTTTGAGTTTCCACCTACAATATAGCAAATAAATTTTTAATTTCTTTCAAATATAATTTTGTATGAATATTTTATTAATTATCATTTTTATTAATCATAAATGTGCTAAAAAAATATTTAACATAAGAAATAATATTACTCTAGTTTATATTCTACTTAATATTAAAAAATATATGTTTATTTTTATACTGTGATATATTTAGAACAAAATATTAAAATAAATGTTAAATAGATACTAAGATAAAAATGTATTGAAACCGATTTTTAATCACTTAACTATTATATTGATTAAGAATAGCATTGTTTACCTATCTTTCATTATTTTAGGATATAATGTATATACGATTTAATATAGTAACAATTTATTTCTAAATGAACTCTTCCCTTGATGCTACATCAATATTAGTTTTTTTAAAATTGTAATATATAATGAAATTAAATTTTGCTTATGGTAACAGATATAATTTTGTTAATTTATTATAATC